TCTATCTATCTATCTATCTATCTATCTATCTATCTATCTATCTATCTATCTATCGTGTAAAGCACTATACAAATCAATCTGAACTGAATTGAACTTCTTTTTTTTAAACATTTACGGCTGAGGACGTGAAGGGACTAAAAGTGATCCATGAGGGTTTGAAATGCTTGAAATGCAAACAGAGTTTTGAGTTGAGGGTGAATTCTTGAATGATTGTCGACTAAGTTGAAGGATAAATGATCGCTGCGTCTCTCTCTCTTGTCCTACAGAACTTACAGTAAACTTCTAAAGGTTTGACACTGAACACCTGCAGTCGAGCCGCAGGTCCGTCACAGGTAATAAATCTTCATTTCTGATGGCTGTCGGATCAAAGCGGTCCGCGGTCGCTCCTCCAGCAGAACCAGGGTCATCTTCTGCAGCTCCGAGTCCTTCATGCGTCCTCCGCTTCTGCGGTCCAAACGACTTATTGGTGAATTTATGAAGCCTGTCGGTTTGAATTAACAGTGGAGAAGCTTTTTATGCTGATCTGGGATCAGTTTTTCAGCATTATACTTGAGGAGCTTTGGGTGGGAGATGATGATCCTCAATCAGTGTTTAAAAAAGTCTGCTTTTAAGTGTGTTTCAGCATTATTTTAGTATCATTGAGATACATTTATAGTTTTTATTAATAGTTTGAATTAATTCCATTTTAATTTTAAGTTTAGTTAAAGTTTAGTTAATTTTGTTGTGTATTTTTTAAACATTATTAATTTCAATTGTAGTTATTTTAGTACATCAAGTTACACTAAATAAAAATGAGAAATAGCTGAAATAAAATAAGTTTATATATAAACTAAAATATATTACACACACACACGCACTGATCATGTGTACAATAAAAATATTTGTAGACACTGATTGAGGATCAAATCTCAATGTTTTTGGCCAACAAAAATAAATGAATTTCAGTTAACATTTATGTAACATTCAGTTACAATTTTATTTTTATTGCTTTAGTTTTTACATTTTTTTTGCATTCTAATATTTAAATTGACCAATTGTCAGTCCTGTGTCTTGTGTTTTGCTCCCCATGTGCTCCCCATTACCCAGTTTCTCCCTTGTTGATTATGTTCATTGATGTCAGGTGTTCCTCGTTTAGTTCTAGTCATTTAAGCCCTGGCTTTTCCTGTGTCCTGTGTTCGGTATTGTTTGTCAATCCCCTGTGCTATGTGTGCGTTCCGTTGGACTAATAAAGACTATTTTCACGAATTCTCCTACGTCTCCTTGCTCCTTCGCTCCTCGCTCCTTCACAGTAGCATCAGATCGTGACAGAATACCGGACCGAATAACAGTAAGCGGCGCCCCTTCTTCCCGTTTTTGTTTCCATGTTTTGAAAGTGTTTTGTTTTCCGTTTTCCCCCCGCGATCATGGAAACAGCCGGGAGATTCGTCGCCCTAGCCCGCAGGATCTCCCCTTTGTAGAGTTCGCCCGGGAATTCTGCAGGTTCGCGGCGATGACAGCGTTGGATGACGCCACGCCGAATTCTTTGTTCTGGATCGGGGCCAATTACCATCACCCCATCGACCTCCCAGACACCACTGGACTGAGCTGGAGGGAAGGGATCTTCCGTTGTGAAGTCCGCTCCAGTGTCGGCTCCAGCCCTTGAGTCCGCTCCAGTGTCGGCTCCAGTCCCTGAGTCCGCTCCAGTGTCGGCTCCATCCCCTGAGTCCGCTCCAGTGTCGGCTCCAGCCCCAGAGTCCGCTCCAGTGTCGGCTCCAGCCCTTGAGTCCGCTCCAGAAAGGGCTCCTGTCCCCAAGTTAAGCCCAGAGAGGGCTCCTGTTCCCAAGTTAAGCCCAGAGAGGGCTTCTGTTCCCACGTCCAGCCCAGAGAGGGCTCCCGTTCCCACGTTAAGCCCAGAGAGGACTCCTGTTCCCAAGTTAAGCCCAGAGAGGGCTTCTGTTCCCACGTCCAGCCCAGAGAGGGCTCCCGTTCCCACGTTAAGCCCAGAGAGGACTCCTGTTCCCAAGTTAAGCCCAGAGAGGGCTTCTGTTCCCACGTCCAGCCCAGAGAGGGCTCCCGTTCCCACGTTAAGCCCAGAGAGGACTCCTGTTCCCAAGTTAAGCCCAGAGAGGGCTTCTGTTCCCACGTCCAGCCCAGAGAGGGCTCCTGTTCCCAAGTCCAGCCCAGAGAGGGCCCCTGTTCCCACGTTAAACCCAGAGAGGACTCCTGTTCCCAAGTTAAGCCCAGAGAGGGCTTCTGTTCCCACGTCCAGCCCAGAGAGGGCTCCTGTTCCCAAGTTAAGCCCAGAGAGGGCTTCTGTTCCCACGTCCAGCCCAGAGAGGGCTCCTGTTCCCAAGTTAAGCCCAGAGAGGGCTTCTGTTCCCACGTCCAGCCCAGAGAGGGCTCCTGTTCCCAAGTTAAGCCCAGAGAGGGCTTCTGTTCCCACGTCCAGCCCAGAGAGGGCTCCTGTTCCCAAGTTAAGCCCAGAGAGGGCTTCTGTTCCCACGTCCAGCCCAGAGAGGGCTCCTGTTCCCAAGTTAAGCCCAGAGAGGGCTTCTGTTCCCACGTCCAGCCCAGAGAGGGCTCCTGTTCCCAAGTTAAGCCCAGAGAGGGCTTCTGTTCCCACGTCCAGCCCAGAGAGGGCTCCTGTTCCCAAGTTAAGCCCAGAGAGGGCTTCTGTTCCCACGTCCAGCCTAGAGAAGGCTCCTGTTCCCAAGTTAAGCCCAGAGCGGGCTCCTGTTCCCAAGTTAAGCCCAGAGAGGGCTCCCATTCCCACGTCCAGCCCAAAGAGGGCACGTGTTCCCAAGTCAAGCCCAGGGAGGGCCATAGTTCCCGAGTCAAGACCAGGGAGGGCCTCAGAACCCAAAATTTTACTCAAGGAATTTTTTTTGGGGGTGGGGGGGCTATAGGGCCATAGAGACTGGGCCGAGGCCAAGGTCACGGAGGCCACTCCGCCATGGCCCCCTGAACTGTCTGCTCCGCCATGGCCTCCTGAACTGTCTGCTCCGCCATGGGTCCCGGAACAGGTGTCCGTCCCATGTAGACCTGTCCCTAGAGCCCTCCAGAGCGCCTACCATAAAAAATGCTTTTAACGTAGATATTTAAATGAGATAATTACAATTATAGTAGTTTTTTTAATAAACTTTTCACACATGCAAACTTATACTTTGTATTTTTTTTTTCATTTTTATGTTTTCCATTTTCATTTGAAAGTTCTAGTATTTTGTTGTGTGTGTGTTTTTTTTTATATGTGTATATAATTTTTGTTATTTTAGTACATCAAAGTGAATAAAAATGTTGCCTTGGCAAATAGCTGAAAAAAAAGCAATGAAAACAAATGTATTTAGATAAAATACAATATCTGAGATTTTGTATGTTACCAAACCCCCACCCCCCCTCCCTTTTTCAGAACATGTTGTCTTTCATAACTGTTTTAAAAGCCTGTAACAACAGGCTCCCATTGTGACAACTTGCCCCAATGTTCAGTAGTGTTAGTGTTTATTTTTTGTGACTTTAACATTTGTATCTTCACTGGAGTGTCACAGTCTCCCTTACAACTTTCTGGGTCCATTTCTATTTAAGACTTATTTTGCATGTTCAGTAGAAGTACTTCCATAATTAAACTGTAGAATCCATAGTCTCAACAAACTCGCATTATAATGCATAACTCTATTAGCGCTTGTTGTTATGAGTGCATTGGATTGCACTTATTGACCTGCACTAATGCAGCGCGCTCGCGTCTCGCGGTGCAGCTGGAGTGCGTGATGAATCAGAGCGGCTCTCCAGGGTCTCCGGCATCGATCCTCTCCACACACTGCCCTTATTCCGCAGAGAAGGACTGAGAAAGGCGAGCGGCGCAGTATCGACGAAATGCACAATCGTTTAGCAGTCACCGTTTGCGCGCTCAATGAGGGGAGTTTGGCTGTTCTCCACAATTACGCACGCGGCGTTTCTGCGTAATGGATGCATCCTTGAAGCGCGAGCGCACTGACTGGAGTTCTGCACACAAGTGACGATGATGATGATGAAGGCACAGTTACGTGGCTGACCCGACCTGTGCCGATAGCCTATATAAACCCCATCCAGCAAGAGAAAGTCAACAAAACCCCTCCAGATTCAGGACCGTCAAACACGCTCAACAAGTACACGGAACGCGCGCGCCTGGATTATGAAGCTCATAGAGAACAAGCACTAAATATCACAGAATAGCCTTGTCTTTACGATGCACGCAGACTTTCTCCAGATGTAGGCTCGGTTTGGTTCATCTGACTCGTTTGGAGCGATGGAGTCGTTTGATGCGGCGGTGAACGGCGTCTCTCACACCGAGGATCCGTTCTCGGGACCGCTCACATTCATCGCACCCTGGAACTATAAGGTCCTTGCGGCGCTGATGTTCGTGGTGACCTCGGTGTCTCTGTGCGAGAACTTCACGGTGATGCTGGTCACCTTCAGGTTCAAACAGCTCCGACAGCCGCTCAATTATATCATCGTCAATTTATCTCTGGCGGACTTTCTCGTGTCGCTGACTGGAGGAACGATCAGTTTTCTAACCAACTTCCACGGCTATTTCTTCTTGGGCAAATGGGCTTGTGTTTTGGAAGGTTTCGCAGTCACCTTTTTTGGTAAGTTTGCATTAGAGCTTTTGATCATCTTCAGCATGTGTCGTTTGGGTTTTCAAAAACACTATATGTGCACTACCATTCAAAAGTTTTTGAATTTGTAATGTTTTTTAAAGAAGTTTCTTCTGCTCACCAAGGCTGCGTTTATTTGATCAGAAATACAGAAAAAGCAGTAAAAATGTGAAATATTTTTACTATTTAAAACAGCTGTTTTCTCTGTGAATATCTGTTAAACTGTAATGTATTTCTGTGATGCGCAGCTGTATTTTCAGCATCATTACTCCAGTCTTCAGTGTCACATGATCTTCAGAAATCATTCTAATATGCTGATTTGCTGCTCAAGAATTTTTTTTATGTTTTTCTAAAGAAGTCTCTTATGCTCCACAAGGCTGCATTTATTTGACCAAAAATACAGTAATAAAAGTAATATTATTACAATTTTAAATAACTTTTTTTTATTATATTTTAAAATTTAATTATTCCTGTGATGGCAAAGCTAAATTTTCAACAGCCATTTCTCCAGTCTTCAGTGTCACATGGTCTTCAGAAATCATTCTGATATGCTGATTTGCTGCTCAAGAAACATTTCTGATTATTATTATTATTAATAATAATAATAATCAGAAATGTTTCTTGAGCAGCAAATCAGCATATCAGAATGATTTCTGAAGACCATGTGACACTGAAGACTGGAGTAATGATGCTGAAAATATAGCTTTGATCACAGAAATAAATTACAATTTAACAGATATTCACATAGAAAGCAGTTATTTTAAATATTAAAAATATTTCACAATAGTACTGCTTTTGCTGTATTTCTGATCAAATAAATGCAGACTTGGTGAGCAGAAGAGACGAATCAGAAGAGAAAATCTTACTGTTCAAAAACTTTTGACTGGTAGTGTACATATATAAATTTCTACATGTTAAGATTGTATACACGGTAGAATTTCACTCATGCCGGTTGTTCTGTTTTGTTTTTACGTTTTTTAAACAGTTTTTCAGGGTTCAGATGACTCCAACAAAATCTAAATGATTGCATTTAATACCAGTTACAGTAATGAAAAGTGCATGTCTACTCGGCGATCCAAAACAGAGTAAAATTCAGTATCTGTTTAATGGGATTTAATTAGATCAGAGGATCAAAACTAACACACAGTATATAAGTTTGCATGCAAAATCATTAGCTGCATATTAAATATTAAATAGCTGATGTGCCTGTGAACCGATGACTCTGTAAAGAATAACCCAGATGAACAGCTGCTCTCATATCTGTGTCAGTGTTTACCATTCATGCGATCGCAGACCCACAGTCACACTCTCATTCATTAAACAGCTTTGATTGATCCTCTTAATTGCTATTTATGCTTGCATGATCTGTTTTAATGCAGTTGGACTTCAAACTAAAGAGACAATAAACCGAGTAAAAACAATGTGATTACAGATGTCAGGTGTACAGTAAAGCAGTGTGAAGTTTGTCCTGATTTCATACTGATTTCACAGTGGACACATTATTAGTAGATCTTCATTAAATGTCAATTATGTAACATCTGGTCATAAGAAGCTCAATTTATAATAGAAATATCAAGCTCACACAAATGAGTTTTTCATTGCAATTTTGTGCAATAAATGCAAATTTAATGATCTGTCAAGTCTAGTTTATCACAAGAATTGTGAATTGACAACTTTAAATATTTTATTGTGACTCAGATTTTTTGTGTGGACTAAAAAAATTTAAAAAAAATAAATGACCCACTAAAAATTATTATAAATACAAGAAATGGAAGTTCTCTGGTTGCTAACACAAGACAATGCGAATGTAATTCAATCACCAGCTTAATTTTTAATGCACTTGTTCAGTTTGTTTTATAAGAGTTGCATGTGTTTTTCAGAAATTAATTGCAATGCATTGTCGTCACATTTATTTCTACAGCGCTTAATACAGTACAGATTGCTTCAAAGCAGCTTCACAGTAATAACAATGTTGCAGAAAGCTGCAAAATAATCAATTATTAAATGAATTTGATTAATCTAAAAAGCAGCTCTACAGCAGACAATAGTGTCATTATTCAGCTCAATTCTGTGCAGTGTTGATTCAATTCAGTTCACTAACAGGGTCGATGTTGCAAAGTTCATCAATTACAAAACTGCAAACTTGTTTGCAAATGCATCTCCATATTTTCAGTGCACAGTAGCTATATTTCCATCCAATTAATTTTGGGATATTGCATTAAAAAACGTTGGATGGAAATGTCAAGATGCACATAAATTCTAAAAATGTGCATAAAAAACTTGAGCTCATATATATGTTTTATATATGTTTATGTAAACTTATAGCTACATAGCCAATGTTAGTTAAAACACATCTAAAATTACTCGTGCAATAAATATATGTCATGAAGTTGCTCTCAGTCTTCTCCGCTGTTATGTTGAGATCTTCTGTTCATCGGTCTCTGTCTGAATCTGCAGGCATCGTGGCTCTGTGGTCTCTGGCTGTCTTGGCGTTCGAGCGGTTCTTCGTCATCTGTCGGCCGCTGGGGAACATCCGTCTGCGAGGAAAACACGCGGCTCTGGGTCTGCTGTTTGTCTGGACCTTCTCCTTCATCTGGACCATTCCTCCTGTCCTGGGCTGGAGCAGCTACACCGTCAGCAAGATCGGCACCACCTGCGAACCCAACTGGTGAGGAGCGCAAACACTCATTTATCACACTCATATATCACGTTAAGGCTGAAAGACTAATTACAGCACCTAAAAATGCTTCCCCTTATACATTTTTAGTCTCAAATCTTGATTGAAATAAAAAAGTATATGCATTTTTTTTTGATGATCAATTTTCAACATTACACAAAAATCAAAACAACAACGATAAACTACAATTACCAGTATCAGAAAAAAAACACTTTAAAGAAGAAAAACAAACAAAACCATAATATTAATGATAAATAGAGATCTCCAGAATCAGAAAAAAAACAACAAAAAAAAACAATATATATATATATATATATGCACACACTCAAATATATTATTAAAAATATAGTATTACAAATTATTATTATTATCATTATTATTGTTGTTTGTTTGTTTGTTTTGTTGATTTTACTTTATTATTTTGATGTTTTTGTTATATTGGAAATTGATAAATACAGTAATTAAAAAAAATACAAGTATGAATAAATTGGTTGAAACATAATGTGATATATATATATGGATGGATGGATGGATGATAGATAGATAGATAGATATATAGATAGATAGATAGATAGATAGATAGATAGATCCGGTTTAATACCAAGCTAAAATAAAAAGAGAAAAAAAGAACACATGGCTAGTATCATAACAGTGAATGATTTACATGTGCATTGTAAAGAAAAACTTTTCTTTGTAATTGTTTGTGAAATTTACTTTTATTGGTTTGAATTGGAATGTCAAACCATTTCCCCTCCACTCAAAACACTGCATTTACATGCAGATAATTTATTCCTTCAGACTATCAGACTCACTGTCAATCAGAAAACAGAAGCGCTCAATAATGCTGACTGGACTATCAACAGGACCTGATAGCTGTCGGGTTAAAGCGAGGTTAAATTATATCTAATGTCACCTTTAAATGGCACGCTTGCCATGCACGCCTCATGAGGACAATACGGCATTTTATCCATCACTTCCCATCTGAAGATCAATATGTGCTGAATGTGTGATAGGGAATAAGCTTATAATTAGTGTATGTTGGTTTAATGACGGCTTGTTCTTCAGGTGTTTTCACACAGACAGTTGCAGTAGTTTTGGTAGTTACTAGCTGTTTCATGCACTACTCTCATTGACAGTCACTGCATTGCACTACTGCTCATTTCCATAAATTAAACTCAATTTTGATGCATCAGAAACAGTCGCTGTCGCTCACGTTGCCTCAACTCAGTCTAACTGCCCTTTAAAGAAGATCAACATGAATACAAAGTACTGTTTGCTTTCCAAACCCAGCTAACAAGGAACATTCTCAGAACATTCTGGCAATGTTCTCTAAGTTATGAAACGACGTTCTTCCAGTAATGCTAGTAGAACATTCGTTCAGACTTATCTGGGTGTTAATAATGTTCTCAAAACTGTTCATGGAATGTTTTATTTCTGGAATGTTTTAGTTGGACATTCATCTAATGCTTTTAAATGTTACTACTGGTTTCGGAATGTTCAGAGAACATTTAAAAGTAACATTATACAATAAGATTATACAATTTAAAGTTCCCTGAACATTTGCATAACAGAACATTTTTAAACATTAAAAAAATGGACATTCTGAATGTTCAGAGTGCATTCAGAAATAACATTTTCATAACTTCATGGGAACTTTGGCTAAACATTTGGAAAATGTATAAAATGGAATATTCGCTTAACATTTGCATATAAAAAAGTAAAAAAAAAAAAACTTGATATTTGAATGTTTAGAGAACATTCTGAAATAACCTGTTAATGACTTAATGATAAGGTTAGCAAAACATTAAGAAAATATTTGGAAAATTCCCTGTGTTTGCATAACAAAAAAGTGTTATTTTTTTGTTGTTAAACATTTAAAAACTGGATGTTTTGCATGTACATTCATAAATAATATTTTCATAACTTCTTGGGAACGTTAGCAAAATGTTTAAAAAATATTTGGAGTATTCTAAAATGAAATGTTCCCTCCATGCATAAAAAACAACAAAATTTTAAACATTAAAAAAAAATGTTTTGAACATTCAGAAATCATTCAGAAATAACCTTTTCATAAGTTAACAGAAATGTCAGCAAATCGTAATCAAAGCATGTTCCTGATTCATATGCATGTCTTTCAAAGAAAAAGAATCTGTCTGAAGTATCTTCAGTTGTTCTGCAGTAGTTTACAACACAACAAACCTACATACTGTATATGTGCAGTGATTTTCTGGTGCTTTCTTCAGAATGCTCGTGCCAGCAGCTGTAGTTCTGCATGTGATGTGATTGGATCACTGTCTATGGGTCTTTGTGCAGGCAGAATTTCTTGAAAATCTTTCAGGCTTGTATCAGAGAGGACACAGTAAATGAGAGCTCTTTCTATGCACATCTTCTAATTGTCTAAAATCTTTTCATTTTCAAACGAGGGACGCCACAATACAGGATGAGTAGGTTTAATGGATGGAGCTTGTCAAACTCACCACCACGAGAGCCTTTCCTCCTCATTCAAGCCTAAACCAGCAGCTAATTAACTAGCTCAGATTTATTGTCTCTTTTCTGCTAATTAGTTCTTTTATCCATAAATGGGAGCCTTGTTCTGACATGCTGATTTATTGGAATTCATTTTGGCCATGTGAAATACTCACCGCTAGGATTTCTTACTTGTTCAAAGTCTGTTTTACCTTTGACATCTTTATCTTTAAACATCATTATGTGATTTAGTATGGAAATGAAAAAAAAGAAAGAAAAAGAAAGTGAAAAAAGAAAGGTACTGTAATTGTGACATTTTATTTCATTGCAGAGTTTATATCTGCAATTCTGCGTCTACATCTCACAATTCTATGTTTATATCTCATAATTCAGTTTATATCTCACGATTCTGAGTTTATATCTCGCAATTCAGTATATATCTCACGACAAGTCACCTTTATTTGTATAGCACTTTATACAATACAGATTGTCAAAGCATATACTGTATATATATATATATATATATATTTAGTCATTTACATTATATATATATATATATATATATGTACAGTGCATGCATATTTATTATGCAAGTTGATATTCTGATCATATATTTTTCCAGGCACATTTGACCAATTCCATAGTCTTAATAACTACTATTCATTTTGTATTTAATCATTTATAAATGACATATAATTGTTCATGAAGGCTTATATCCGGTGTGCATAATTATTAAGCAGGTTTTCTTTTACAGATAAAAGGAGCCAAAAAAGAGATTTAACTCATGCAATACTAGAAATCACAAAGTTAAGGCATGACCATTGGACAGCGAAATGCTCGTTGGGTCAGCAGGGTCAGACAAAAACAGGTGGAGACTGCAAAAGAATTAAGAATTAAGCTGAAGAATTAGGTGTGAAACCATCAGGAACCCTTGAGTCTCCAAGCCGAACTTTTCAGGATAGGAGATGGACTGAAAATGAACTCCCAAAACTTACTGCCAGATTCTGGAAGATAAATTCTTCAAACAGTGCACAAGAGGATGTGGTGCTGGTCTGTCTATAGAGCCTATAAAAAAATTCAGTCTTCATGTATTTTAATACACTTCAGCATATGATTCTTACTCATTTTTTAGAGTTATTTACCTAACCTAAGTCCTTGAGAACCTGGCACCTGGCACTTCTGGAGACTAAAGGGTTCCTGATGGAGTCACACCTAATTATAATTCTTAATTATTTTGCAGTTAATGTGTCTTTTCTTCTCCACCTGTTTTTGTCTGACCCTGCTGACCCAATGAGCATGTCTCTGTCCAGTGATCATGCCTTAACTTTGTTATTAAGATTGATGTGGTTTGGGATTGGTGAAATGTGCTTGGAAAAAAAAATATGATCAGAATATCAACTTGCATTATAATTATGCACATACATGTAGCCTATATATATATATATATATAATTATTTTTTTTCTTTGGAAAGGTAAGAAAGCTTTCTCTTTCATCGGATCTTTGCACTCATTAATTTTTGTCCCTCTGCAGGTATTCGGGAAACTTCCAGGATCACACCTTCATCATCACGTTCTTCACCACCTGCTTCATCCTTCCACTGGGTGTGATCATCGTCTGCTACTGCAAACTGCTCCGGAAGCTCAGAAAGGTCAGTCGCTCCACAACACCTGGAGTCCAGCGGCTCATTAGACCAGCGATCCACTGAATCCTAATGATCTCCATGTGCTTTCTGATGTCATTAGAACTGCAAACTGACCTCTGATCACAGACAAACCATAAAAATGATCTAAAGTTACCATGTGTGCTAAACCTGATTTCCAGTAGACTGCCATCATCAAATCTAGCCATGATAACAATTATTTTGTCAGCACACATTATGTGTGTGTTTGCAGGTGTCTAACACGCACGGCAGGCTGGGCAATGCCAGGAAGCCAGAGCGTCAGGTGACTCGTATGGTGGTTGTGATGATCGTGGCCTTCATGGTGGCCTGGACTCCGTATGCTGCGTTCTCCATCGTGGTCACGGCCCATCCCAGCATTCACCTGGACCCGCGGCTGGCAGCCGTTCCAGCGTTCTTCTCCAAAACCGCGGCGGTTTACAACCCCATCATCTACGTGTTCATGAACAAACAGGTGACATTTGCATTCATGCATTTGGCAGATGCTTTCATCCAAAGTGACTTACAATGCATGCAGTTCATGCATTGCCCTGGGATCAGACCCATGATGTATTATATTTGATGCACACATTTCTAAAGCTCTAAATGATCTCCTGCATGTCTTCTGTCGTCTGATTGATAGTTTAGTGTTTTTTATCCAGTCAAAGCTCTTTTAGTGTAATTGTACAAACGTCCAGCTTCAGCTGGAGCTTCTCGTGTCAAATTCTGACTGGTTTTGATCAAGTAAAGGTCAGAATAACTGCAGTAATATCTCCAGATGAACACTTACTGGACTGAAGCAGCTCAGCTTTACTTGATTCTCCATCAGTCATGTTTTAGAGTCTCAAATCTGATCCTCAGGATCTTTTGAGGAGCGTTTGTTTCCAGAAGCTTTACTTTCACTGTTCCTCAGCGGAGGAATGATCTTCACAAGCCTCCAGAACATCTCACATCTTCTGAGGAGCCTTTATTTCTTCAGCTCTCAATCACTGCATTATATGTTTGGATCATTTCAATCTCATCTTACTGAGACATGTTACTGGAGATATAGAGCGACCGCTGATATTCAGATCACTTTATGTCAGTATCTGCTGCACTGTTATAAAGATCTCTCTGATTTATGTTACAAGCAGCAGAATTGCATCAGATAAATATCAGCATCTGCACCACTTTCATATTTTTGCTCAGTTTGAGTCTCTGAATAAAATCGAGCTGTTTTTCCTTCATATTCTCACTTTATCAGAATATACGAGCCTGACGGATAAAATATAATGCTTAAAGAAATCTAATTTATTTTTGTTTAAAGGTTCAATAAACTCCATTAAAATAAATTCAGATTTTTCTGACTATTATTTCATATGTCAGGCTATAATATTACCCATTATGCATTTGACCAAAAATTAATCAGGTGACAAATTTAGGTTATAAAAACGTTGTGGGAACATTCGTTTTTAATGTTTCTAAAATGTCCAGTTTTCTTGTCACATTTGTAACATTATTTAAAGGTTACAAAAACTTTCTTAGAATTTTCATGACGTATTCAATCTCTCTAAATCTCGAGAATGACTATTTGTTAGTTATTCGAATTAAAGAAGGAAACTTGTCCTCATTTACTCTCAAAATAGCATATGCTGGTGATCCATCTTCATCATCATACGATATTAGGTCCTCAGAAGAATGCAGAGCGACAGCGTTACATAAACTCACCCTTTGATTGGTGTTGTTAGTCGTCAGCTTCATCTTTAATAATAAATGGATCATTAATAAATGAGCAGTAAAATGCAGCGTGAAGCGAGCTCAGGATGGTTTTTAAGCCGAAATGATTTGCCTTGATAACACCTGCATCTCTCTGTTATTGTTTTTATTATTAAAGGCTGTATAAATAGAGGCATCATTTAATAAAACAGTTCAAACGTCTGAAGAATTTAGAACTTTTGATCAGTAGAAGCTTATAAACATAAACCCAATGGAAATACAACTCTACTTCCTTTGAATGTCAGATGGCGGGAAATTTCAATGACTTTAATGTTGATTACAGTGATATTACATCATTATGAAAAACATAAAGGCACAATTCTGAGAGAAAAAAAATCAGAAGTGTAAATAATAAACTCAATCGTGAGGGAAAATTGTCAGAATTGCAAGATATAAATTCAGAATTGTGATATATAAACTTTAATTTTTTATTGCAGAAAAAACAATAATAAAAAAAAAAAACAGAATTACGAGGTATAAACACAATTCTGTCAAAAAAAGTAAGAATTGTGAAATGTAAACTGAAAATTGCGAGAAAAAAAGTCTGAATTGTGAGATGAAAAAGTCACAATTAAATTAGTATTTTTTTTATTCAGTGGTGGGGAAAAAAACTATCGTGAGATCTAAACCCAAAATTAAAAAAAGCTTGAAATGTGAGTTTATAATTCTTGGCGAAAAATGCAAATTGTCCAAATTGTGAGATAAAAAGTGTTTTTTATTTATTTTTTTATTAAAAATGACAGAATTGCGGGAAAACAAAGTCTGAATTACAAGAAACAAGAAAAGTAAAAAAAAAATAAAAAAAATGTTATTCAGTGGTAGAATAGGACTTCCATAGTTTCTAGGTTTGGACTGCTGGTATTTCTTATGAATATTCAATATAACATCAACTAATTATAAGATTAGAAAGGCCAAACTCAAACGCAGTTAGCAACTTGCTTTGCTAAATGAGTTTGCGGCGATGCTTGTACTTAAATTTTGATCTTAATAATATTGCATGAAGATCTCGAGGCGTGGCAAGAAAGTTTCCTGCATCCCAGTTAAAATCCCCCGCTGCTAAATGGGTTACTGTAGCTGAAAGAGCTTGAAGAAATAAGTCCTTATGCAAGCCATTTAGGATTGAGGCTGCTTTCCAATACTGTGTTTGAGAAGCGTGCAAGACTTAGAAAAATCCTAAAGCTGTCATGCTGGGATGATATCGTTTCACCAGAGCTGATGTATCTGACATATACTACTAAAATAAAAAATAAATAAATACCCGTGGTTTGGATCAAACCTGGCGCACTCTAAAGGAGAAGATGCTGAATTATTGAGCAGCTGTGGAGGTTACTGGACGTAAACAGTGTTTGGCAGCGCTGTGTCTTTCCGTCTTCCTACTGAGCTGTAGCTGTCAGTTTAGCCACTTCTCTCCATTCAAACGCTGACATCTGGATGCTGTCCACACTCGAACATGAACAGCTCTCCTATTCAGAAATCTGCAAAAATACGTGCACAGCAACACGGCATGCTTGTTTGATGGTCATCTCAGACTAAATAATGTTGTCAGTGGTATACTAAAATAACACAAAAACAGCTATAATTGTAGTGCTGATCACAGTTTGTACTTGTAAATTAGACTGAATAATAAAAATACTCTATACATTTTTTTATAGAGTAATAAAAATCTGTAGAATTAGTGCATTGGTGTTTTACTAATTACAGCTGGGCATATTAATACACTGTATTTTTTTTAACTTGTAAATAACCCCATTACTATTTAAGCACGTTTTACAATAGAATACTATCTCAGTCTTTTTACTTCAAAATTCTAATGTTTATTTCAGTGTGTTAATTGCTGTTTCTTTGTACTTATTTGTGAACTTTACAATTCGTTTCCGAGTCTGTTTCAAAGCAAGTTACCAGGCGTAGGAGTTACTTTGAAACTATTTTGACAAATAATCACAAAGAAATGGCAAGTAACGCACTGAATTGAACAGAGAATTTTTGAAGTAGAAAAACTATGTGACTTAACTATAATAACTCTGGTGTTATTTGTAGTGAATTGCATAATAAAAACAACTTTTAATAAATTGCATGATAAAAGTGATTTTAAACCTAAAGCCAAGATATGCGTTTGAAAAGCCCTATATTTACAGGATCAGACGGGCTTTTCAAGTGACTTTAGGACACAAACTAATTAGTGTCTATCGGACTCTGTAGCTTCATGACTGGGGACTAATGAAGAATGAGAAGGACGATGTGAACCGCAGGCTAATGTGGAAACAATTAATGATTACTGTGCAATTATGACCTCATCAGGATTGACTAATTGTACTTACATGTTACACAGCCGTCAGCTGCAAAGCAACATATCAACTGATGACTGATTTCACTGCTCGTTTAGTAGCCTGATTGCATCAGTAAAATCCACTTAGCTTAACTCTCAGCATTTGGTGATTTATTTAAGGTGAGACACTACAGACAAAACCATTGTTTGTTTGTTTCATGCACTGGTTGAATTTGAGATCACGGGCTATTTGTTTATAACTTGTCTTCTTATCTTCAGACGCAATGCAAAGAAAACATCTAAAGCATCTTAAATCTACATTTAAGTGTTTGTTATTTATTGCACTTTATCTATTTGCAACTATGGATTTCAATTCCAATATCTATCTTTAAAGGTTTGAGTTTTTTCTTATTCACTTCAGCAGCATTTACATGCACCAAAATGTACAGCTTATATTCTGAAGGTTTTTTATAGAGCGATTTGTTCATAATATTTTTATGTAAACATTACTAAAACATTTTATTCCTAAAAACAACGGCATAGCAACACCCTAGCAACAGCCCCAGGTACCCTTTTTTTATGTCTGATGACAGTATTTTCTGATAAAAAGAGAAATCCAAAATTCCCTCTTGAAAAACCTTTAACTCTAATATGACAACAAAGTCGAACAAAAATTTTGAACCTGGTTTTATGAATGTACTGTGATTAATCAAATAGGCAAAATATGTTTATATCTATTAGTTAACATTTTACCCTATTCACCTCTAGTGTCTTGCCTCACAATTTGTTGCAATAAACTTTGGGACCAAAAACACGTTTCCTTCAGGAAATAACTTGCAACTTAAGCCATGTTGAACCCTAATCTTGAGTTTATGAATTTTTGGTGATGTTCAGTGCAAGGCAAATTAATTTCAAGGATGTTTTCTAGCTCAGAGCAGAGTTGAAGTGTACATCAAAGATCTCTAGAGAATAATCCATTGCATTTGTCTTCCTGTGATCTCCTCAGTTCAGGAAGTGTCTGGTTCAGCTCTTGAGCTGCAGTGACGTCACCGTCATCGAGGGGAACATCAACCAGACCACCGAGCGCGCAGGCATGACCAATGAGAGCAACACAGGAGAGATGTCCGCCATCGCCGCATGCATCCCCGCGGCTGGAAGCATCCCACCTAAAACAGAAGAGCATCCCAATGAACGCAGCTCCTTCACCCAAATTCCCATTCCTGAGAACAAAGTATGTCCGATGTTAAGACGCGCCAACATCTCTGTTTGTCACTCGTGTTCTCGGGCTGAATGCATATTATCTTTTGAATGCTGGTCTAAATGATGTTCATCCAGCATTAAATTCTGCAGCTCGTGCACGACAGACAGACAATGTTAAAATTACAGAAAAACACTGAAACATGCAGTGTTGGGGACGAAACTATAACACTGCTAACTTTCTCTTGAAAAGCAGTTCACTACAAAAACAAAATAGAAGGCTTAGGGGTGATATCTTTTAAAATATATTTTTTGTTTATTTTAAAGCAACAGGTTTGTTTAGCAACAGTTTCACAAATATGGATGCAAAAAGTTTAAACTGATAAATTTGCAATACAATTATTAATTTGCTACAGTTTAAATGGTAACACTTTAATTGAGGCCTTTATGTATAATGCATTATACATTTTCATAAATAACTGTGACCAAAGTTAAATATTTGCTTGCTACACCTGAAATTGGTTGTGTGTCATGTGTTTTAATGCATTATACTTTGTAAAGGTGTAACAATGAATAGATAAATATTATAATATAACAGTGGTTACAATTATTCATGATGTGATACAATGCATTATAAGTCGCATTACAAAGCCTAATTAATGCACTGAAATTGTTTTATCATGCATTTTGTAATGCAGATGTAAAAAAGGAAATTGTGACTTTTTAATCTCACAGTTTGGACTTTTCTCCTCAGAATTGTGAGTTTACTGTATATCTCACATTTAAAAAAAAAAAAAATTTCTCTGAATTCTGAGTTTCGCATTTACATTTAGCAGTTTTTTCCCCCCCCACCATGGAATAAAAATATAAAAAAGTTAATTGTGGCACATTTATATTGCATTAAATAAAGGCTTCAAATAATTTGTCACCATTAATACCATTCTAAAATTAGCCTTACTCTAAAAGTACTACGGCAATACCATGACACAGTGATGTAATATCATAATACGTCAACATATATAATGACACTAAACCATTATATTTACATGGTACCCCAAAGTACTGCAAAGAATGGTATGAACACAATAGACTTTTCTCCTCAGAATTGTGAGTTTACTGTATATCTCACATTTTTCAAAAAAAAAAATTTCTCTGAATTCTGAGTTTTGCATTTACATTTAGCAGTTTTTTCCCCCCCACCATGGAATAAAAATATAAAAAAGTTAATTGTGGCACATTTATATTGCATTAAATAAAGGCTTCAAATAATTTGTCACCATTAATACCATTCTAAAATTAGCCTTACTCTAAAAGTACTACGGCAATACCATGACACAGTGATGTAATATCATAATACGTCAACATATATAATGACACTAAACCATTATATTTACATGGTACCCCAAAGTACTGCAAAGAATGGTATGAACACAATAAATGTTTAAATACAGTAAACCAAGTCTAAAATACTGCATTTTTAACTGCTGAACAACTGAAAAAATGCATTTAAGGTTGCTTTTTACTTACTTACTCCCCAACACTGCATACATGACTGCTGACTGTTGATCATCAGTTACTCACACTGAACTTTTATAGGCTTCTTCACTGCAACATTTGCAGAGATATTAACGAAACCAGACAGAATAAATAAACTGAATGCAAATCAGGCAGGCACTTAACTTTTCAAAATGAAGGGAAAATGTCTACATGCAAACAAACAAGCAAAAAGTACAAGTGCCCTTTGCAGAGATATTAACGAAACCAGACAGAAAAATAAACTGAATGCAAATCAGGCAGGCACTTAACAGTGGAATACATGTAAAATAATTATTCTTTTCAAAATGAAGGGAAAATGTCTACATGCAAACAAACAAGGAAAAAGTACAAGTGCCCTTCAGTGTCAGCATCAAATCACAACTGCTGGCAGCCAAACTCAGCGATTCTGCCAGCGGTTATGTAAGTATCCACTCTTACAAGTACGTCCACGGCATCCCGAATCTCCTGCACTGTTATCTTTATCCTGAGGTTCACTGGTATATTTCACTGTATCTGTTGCATTATTTGTTTACTGTATGCTCTGATTTCTGAGAGAAGAACTCCTGACCAGCCAGAGAAACACACACACACACACACTCACACACACACACACACACACTCACTCACTCACTTCAACATTGATAAAAATCAGAAATGTTTATTTTAAGCCGCAAATCAGCATATTAGAATGATTTCTGAAGACTGTTTGATGCTGAAAATACAGCTTTGATCACAGAAATAAATTACAGTTTAACAGATATTCACATAGAAAACAGCTGTTTTACATTCTAATAATATTTCACAATTTTTACAGTATTTATAATCAAATAAATGCAGCCTTGGTGAGCAGAAGAGACTTCTTTCAAAAACTTAAAAAATCTTACTGACTCCAAACTTTTGAACTCTTTTGAATGAAAATAATTGTGTCACTACCAGTTTAGTTGTTTTCACGCGTGCACTGGGCTTACGTAGAATGAACTTGTCGCTTGTTTAAATAACTGAAGTGGAGTAACACTGGCAGCATTTCTGATGGATATTGATCGTTTCTTTAATTACTCCAGCATCGACTCTCCGCTGACTGACGAAAGCACTGAGCCCATTCAGAAATGGGACACGTGAACACACCGCACTCTCATCGGCGCACAGACAGTTCTGATCCCATCAGTCGAATATCTAAATCTGGTGTCTACATCACAGATCGAACTCTCTGAAACACACACAGACACAAATCCATCAGTCCAACATCAAGAGCTTCTAAATTTCCTTCACAAACTCAGTTCTGACTCTGAATTTACATTTAAACAATTGTTTACATTGAGACTGTCTGCAAAGCCAATATTGATAAAACACAAATGCATGCATAAGATGCATAAGAGCAATACATGTAGCGTTCAATCTGAGCTTTACATTAACCAGATGATCATTGAACGAAATGAAAGAGGCACCAAAAGGAATTGCAAAAATAATGAGTGTTTGGATCAGATATAAGAGGGTCACTGAGGTTTATTGAGAGTCTTATTCTTCTGCTGCTGTACAGCCTTTCACTCAAAGCACAACGGATGAACCGACTGTTTTGTGTTTTATTTCTTCCAGATTCACTCTAGCATGTCAGCGATTTGTTCCTGTTTTCTGTCATGATGAACTCTCTCAAGTCGTGTTTGAGATTCACTCTTATATGCTGTGCTTGCATGTTGTAAATCAAAGAATGTGTGCATTTCAGTAAACTTCTTCAAACGCACCTGCTGTCCATGTAAGACCCTTCACATGAAATTCAAATATTACTTTCTTAATAAATGTTTCTGGTCTTACGATTCGGGTTGAATGTTATGAATGCCTTTAAGCTGACTCTGGAAACATGCAAAGTTCATGAAATATTGATCCTGTAGGGTGTGTTTTACACAGATGGAAGATTATTTCCAACACAGAAGAAAAATATGAAAAAGGTAATTGTGACTTTTTATCAACAATTCAGACTTTTCTTAGAATTAGAGTTTATAGCTCACAGTACTTTCTGTTTGTTTGTTTCTGCCATGGAATAAAAAAAAAGGCGATTACAAGTTTTATCTAACATTTTTGGCTTTTTCCCTTAGAACTTCACATCTTGTAATTCTGTGAAATTAATAAAAAAAATCAAACAAACAAAAAACAAACAGTTGATTGCAACTTTCTAATCTCATAATTTTGTTTTTTTTTATGGAAGATTATTTCCAACACAGAATAAAAATATGAAAAAGGTAATTGTGACTTTTTATCAACAATTCAGACTTTTCTTAGAATTAGAGTTTATAGCTCACGGTACTTTCTGTTTGTTTGTTTCTGCCATGGAATAAAAAAAAAGGCGATTACAAGTTTTATCTAACATTTTTGGCTTTTTCCCTTAGAACTTCACATCTTGTAATTCTGTGAAATTAATAAAAAAAATCAAACAAACAAAAAACAAACAGTTGATTGCAACTTTCTAATCTCATAATTTTGTTTTTTTTTCTTACAATCTGAAGTTATAAAGTCACAACTGCGAGTTAAAATCTTGCAATTATGAGTTTATATCTTGTAATTTTTACTTTTTTGCTTGAATTATTCTAATTTTAAGTTTACATTTTGTATTTTTGTTTTTCTTGTTTCCACCAAGGAATAAAAAAATCTTAAGAATGCAATTTCGGCATTTTAGCTCACAATTATAATAGCTCACTTTTTTTTTTCTTCCAAATGCAAGTTGACTTTTCTTGGAATTCTGAATTTATATTTTGGGTTTTTTGTCTTTTTTTTTGAGTTAAAAAGGTCATTGTTTTTTATCTCACAATTTTGACTTTTTTCCTCAGAATTCTAAGTTACATCCCACAATTCTGTAAAATAAAATAAAATAAGTTTTATTTTATTGCACCTTTTTAATCTCACAAATTTGACTTTTTTCCTGTAGAATTCTAAGTTTACATCTCACAATTCTGTAAAAAAAAAAAAAGTTTATTGCAACTTTTTAATCTCACAATTTGGACTTTTTTCTTGGAATTGTGAGTTTATATCACACAATTTTGAGTTATCAGATCTTGCAATTCTGACCAATTCTGATCTTGCAATATCTTTTTTCTCAGAATTGTGAGATGTAAACAGAACTGAGAGGGAAAAAAAATCAGTCACTTTTTTGATTTTTTCCTTGATGGAAATGAGCTTCCATATATAAATGTGAAGTGATGAGCGGAGGGAAGTTTCGAGGGCTGATGGGAGTCTGTTCCTGCATCATGAAGCTGGAATCAGCGGCTCTGCCCTCTTCACCCCATGCTGTGACTCTTCCTCCAGAACACACTGAATAAAACACTCACACGCCGTGAAGATATGCTCGCACAAGACGATGATAAATGTCACCAGCAGCGAATGCATGGCCAGTTCACCGTCTCTCAGAGACCTGAATAAGCAGAGAACCTGAGTGAAATGATAGTTTGCAGACGGTGATTAATTCAAAGTGTAATTTACATGTTCATATAGAGTGCAGCACTTACAGAGCCCATTTTGATTTATCAGGGTGAGGAAACAGAAACGCACACCTTCAGGATGATTAATTGGCCGCTGGAGTGCTTACAGTTGTGTTGAGTCAGAGAGAGAGGATGCAAACCGCTTGCTACTCTGTTTCTGAGTTTTATATGATAGTAAAAGTCTTATTCAGCTTTTGCATGTAACAAATTATAGTACATGCGAAATAATAAAATGCTAAAACCTTTATAATCACGCATATGATTATGAGTATCAACTTTTGCATGTAAAAACTGTTATATGTAAATAATAAAATCTAAAAACCTTATACTCATGCATATATACGGAAGTCTTATACAACTTTTGCCTGTTACAAATGATGTAACATGCAAATAATAAAATGCAAAACCCTTTATACTCATGCATATTTACAATATAAAGACTTATATGCACATTTTTAATATATAGACTTATAAACTTTTGCATGTAACAAATAATGTGACAATTATACAGATTATAAAATGCAAAAAGCATTATACTCATGCATATTTACAATACACTGTAAAAGTGTATCAACTTGTGCATGTAACAAATAATGTTATATGTTTACAAAAACACTTGCGGTATCTGTTGTTGCTGATGTCAGGGTCACATGTGATTTAGCAGAAGCTTGTCAAATCAGACGGATGAAAAACGGACAGGTTGTGTGACGCCCTCGTCCTCAAAAAGCACTGTGAAAATACACTCTAGATGACATTAAATACAGCTCCTCTGACAACACGGATAAACCTGGCTCTGTTCGGTGATGCATTCATTGAACCATTGAAATTCAAGAGACATTTACAAAACAAAGCTACCAAGCTGTCATCTTAATATTTGTGCATATTGTTGCTCATATTAATTAGCACCAAAGTTTGATTGGAATGAATTTAGTTTAATGTTGTCCGCTAAAGTTTTTTGGTTCTGTGTTGGGTCACGTCTTTTCTCCGTCTTGCTGCATGCGAGCACACTTTGGATCTGTCACCATATTAATAGTTCATGAGCCATTTCAGTGCTGTATACTAGACTGGAAATCCCTCACGAGGAACTGAGATGGATTTCATGTCACATGCACACACACAGAATAACATACGACTGTCTTTGCTTCTGTAAACAAACACAGACCCTGATGAAACTCTTATCACGGAAATAACTGCACTCTAAAAAATGCTGGGTTGTTTCAACCCAACTTTGGGTCAGATATGGACTAACCCAGCTGCTGGGTTAAAAATGCAATTTAAAAATTTAACCCAGTGGCTGGGTTAGTCCATATTTGTCCCAAAGTTAGATTGAAACAACCCAGCATTTTTTAGAGTGTGGACGTGACATAAAACCTAGCGAGTCGCCTACATAGACAGCACTGTAGGGCATCACAGGTGTGCACTTGTTCTAAAAATAAGGCAGCTGACTGGTATCACTGATATACTATTATAGCTTTTTTTCCCATATTTTTGTTCACATTTTGAATTTTTGTAAAATATTTGTTTTTCTGTTTTGACTTTAAATAATTTTGTTGTGTTTTTGTCATTTGTATAGTATTTACAATATAGTATTCATTCACTCATTTTTATTTATTAATTCTAATTGTTATTGTATTATCGTTTTTGATAATGTTTAGATTTTTATAAAAACATTTTGTTTAGTTAAAGTTCTAATAATTTTGTTGTGTTATTTGTCTTTTTATTATTTTATTTTCTTATAATATTTTTTATTCATTATTTTTTTTATTTTATTGTAATTTAAAAAAATATATATTTTGACTTTATTTTTATTTTTTTAAGTCTATATAGTATTTACACATTTTTATTTATTTCTTTATTTTATTTATTTTAGCATTTAGTAGAGGTTAAACTAAATGAAAAGAGAATGCCTTTTATTTTATTTTATTTTATTTTAGGTAACATTTATTTTATTTCAAGTAACACAAATCGTTATGGCTTTTATGGCAACATTTTTAATTTTCTCAGCTTAGTTTAACTTTATGCATGAAAATAAGTTTTAAAAAAGGTAAATAAAAATTATATAGACATAAAAAAAACATCAAAAAGACATAAACACCCAACAAAATGACTAAAACTAACTAAAATTAAAATGGATTATAAATATAAATATAAAAAATATTAACAAACAAAATCATTGATAAAAATGCTAAAAAATGCATAAAAAAAAAACACTGAACAAGACTAGTGTTCTTTTGAAACGCATCAGTCGATTATCATTGTGGCCTAATAAAGCTTTTCTCAGTGTTTTGGGTTTACATTTCAATTTTAAACTATACTAAAAGGACAATAGGAATACTTATCTGTCTTCATTAAAGTAATTTAATTAGCTGTTTTAATGAAGATGCTCGTCAGAATGAACGGGAGAAAGAGTTATGATCTGTCACCTCATGTATTTGCTGATGTTCCTCCGTATGTGATGAAAGGCTCCCGCGCTGAAGATGAATGGAAAGCAGAAGATCAGCGGTGTGGAGCCGGGCTTCATGAAGACGAGAGCTGTGTGTGATTAATCACTCTCAAACCGAGCGCTTCCAACAGAGGAGAGAGAAACAAACACACACTTCACCTCAGAATACAATCACTAATCGAATGCTGGTTAACACTCATGCAGAACAATGGGTTAATAATAGCATAGATGTGAAAAAGAAACGCCACCGTTGGGATACGTGAAGAAATAATCCGGTGTGTGAACATGATCTTCAGCCTCTGCGACCTTGTTGCATTACATAAATAAGAAACAGAACACTTTTTCACTGGAGGAAGAGTTATTATGGATTATGGACTCTATGGTATTTTAGTTAAAAACGTCTTAATGCTGGATTAGTTTCAGCTTTTGTCTTCTCCAGATGTTAACTGATGGACTGGAGTGCTGTGGATTACTTGTGGATTATTGTGATGTTTTTATCAGCTGTTTGGACTCTCATTCTGACGGCACCCATTCACTGCAGAGCATCCATTGCTGAGACACTGATGCAATGCTACATCCTGATGCTTTACTCTGGAAAACTAGATTAAATTAGTCCAGTTACTTATCTTAACTATGTACTAAACAC